AGGGCTTTTAACATTTAACATTGTAATTGCCACGGTTTGTTTATGTTTGCGGAGTACTCGAAACCCCGTGTAGTTCCGTCTGAGTGCAAACATGCCACATGCAAATCTTATGCACTTTAGCCCCGAGAACTCCTCCCCTTGTTCACTTTTCCCAATACTTCTTTTATAAAGAAAATAAATGCTAATTTAAAGCAATTATTTCTTATTATTTCAATGTATAAAAGAGTAATTTAGCGATGATTTTGGTCTTCTCATATTTTCTCATATTTACACTGACTTAATTACCATTTAAATCTCGATGATTGGAAAAAGTATATCCTAAATATGTAGATCCACAAATGAAGTTTGTTAGTAAGATTAATAACATTTGTTTTTTTGAAAAATATAGGGTCTTTCATACAAGATAATAATATTATTCTTTCAGAACTTGACCACTGCTCAGCTCTTTGTAAAAATAATAAAGCTCTCGGTATTGATAATGTAATTTATGAGATTCTAAAAGTCTTTTTTTCTGCATAGATCATTACTTGCTCAACCTAGATCATACCATTTTAGAAAGTGAACAAATTCCGGAAAATCGTCCAAAGTCACGTTAAAACTAAAAAAGAGCAAAAAGTGCAATATTACAAGCCGTTGCATTATTTAACACTTGCATCAAGCTACTTCCTTTCATTTCTCAGCTTTATCAATATGTCACCTTATTGGAATTTTTTCTAGGAACAAGCAGGTTTTCGTAAAAACAAATGTTGTACGGATAACCTTTTCATTCTCCACGATCTTTCATTACAATACATTCGTCAAAAAAAATATTTATTTGCATTTCTATTGACTTTCAAAACGCTTTTAATATTTTTCAACACGACCTTTTACGGAGAAAACCACTTTTGCTTAGATTTAGTGGGAAAATAATCAGATTAGTAAAAAATGTAGCTTTTTCAGCTTTAAATTAAATGGAAACATTCTGGATGATAACAATCTCTAAGGGAATCCGGCAAGGCGAATCCCTTTCGTCTTTACTTTTTATTTTAGACATTGAACGTCATTTGCTAGCTGAGTATTTATTGACGGTGTCTTTTTTGCAGATTCCCGAAGCCAGGCACAGCGTGAATTCAATGTTTTATCTGAACATTACGATTTAAATAATTTACAATGTATGTTGCGAAAACAAAAGCGTTAGTGTTTCGAAATTCGCCTAGTTGCAAAAATTTAGAAATTTGTATTAGAAAAATCGCCTCGTCGAATATTTCATAGTTTTCATTTCTTCAATTCACTAGTTTTCGTGGTCCGGCTAATTAATATCTTTCAATTAATTAAGGATTTTAGTTGAGATAAAAAAAGTTAGTGTCACGAGCGGGATTCGAACCAACGACCTTCGTCTTTATACGCCGCGCCGCTGCTTTACCACCTGAGCTATCGTGACTTCGATCCACTCGGACACTAACTTCCCATCTCAACCCCGCCTTTTGCATTTTCCCTCCTTTTTGCCATTTTTCAAATTCNAAGTAGTAGAGTAGCGGCCTATCTAGTCGAAGGTCGTGGGTTCGAATCCCGCACGTGACATTGACTTTTTTATCTCAACTAAAAACCTTAATTAATTGGGTTTTTTTTTTCATTTGAATGTCTGGCAAAATTTATGATTTCAAAAGAAGAACAAAAAACTTAGTAAAGGAACTCTCCCGGGCTAGGAAAAATTAAGGAAATTGTAATAAATTATATAAGTTAAACCTTTTGATTTGATAATAGCTGCTTGTGCTTTTCTACGAATTGGAGGTCCGCCATCCTAGACAACTTGCAGATACGCTTCTTTTAGTAGTTGTTCCACTTGCTTCACAACCTGACCATTTTATTCGAATGGAATTTGGACTTGTTTCACCGAGTGTTCACACACTGAGCAGAATTCTAGGCTGATGAAAATGAGAAACTTCACTCTAATCAAGAGTTCTTTTAGTTACATTTCCCCAAAACTGAGGTCGAGGTTCGAATCCCGCTCATGGCACTGACTTTTTTATATCAACTAAACACCTTAATTTATTGATAGATTTTAATAAATTATATGCCAACGTAAAAAAANTTCACAACCTGACCATTTTATTCGAATGGAATTTGGACTTGTTTCACCGAGTGTTCACACACTGAGCAGAATTCTAGGCTGATGAAAATGAGAAAGTGCACTCTGATCAAGAGTTCTTTCAGTTACATTTCCAACAAAACTGTTCCAGAACCAGAAAAAACCGGATTTTTACTTATCTATATTACCTTGGCACACGTGTGTTGTAAGATGTCATATTTTTCCTATCCTAACATTCTTCAGAGTGATAAAGAGGATAGGGTCGAAAAATGGCAAAATCGTGAGTATTCCCAAGATGTAAAATGATATGTACTAGAACATTATATAGCTCATATTTCAGGAGGATTTCCTCACTGATGGCCATTGGGACAAAATACCCAAGATAAGTGGGTGACTTGCGAAGAAAACTTAAACAAGCAAAGACAGACTTAAATGATCGGGAACGAACAAACTACGCGCCACCGACTATTAAAAAAGAAACGAAACCCAAAGCAACAAAACATGTTGTACATTGGAAAAGAAACAAATACATGTGGTACTTTGGATTACAATTAAAAGATCGGTTCAAAGAACATATCAGCTCGTTCGGAACAAGCAGGAAATCAAATCAATTAATACATTACAATAACGAACCAAACACAGTATAATCAAGCATGGCTTATATAGAACGAACTAAAAGGTCGAAAACATGGCGGTGTTAACCGATCTTTAAAATATATCTTTTAAGAAATTAATGAGAGTGCCAACTGAGACACAAAGAATTACAGCCAAATCGAAAGATAAGTTAAGAAATGAGAGATAATTAAAATAATTGAGGTTTAAACTCAACTTTGACGCGCTTACAAGTAGAGTAGATAACATACATCTTGGAAGAAAGGTTGCCCAAGTTTCAGGAAGAGCTTTAATCTGGTACACATATGGATTGAACAGGAAGGGCTTTTGTAGGGGCAAAAATGCCAAACTTAGCCAAAAAAGCTAAACCCCTTTGGAAAATCCCATCAATTGTAAAAGTTTAGACCTATGCAATACATTTCAGCGCCCAGGGGTAAATAAAGAAAAATATGAAAGGTGCATAAATTTACATACACTCAGACGGATACATAGGCACTAAATGCGCTTGCTTTCAACTCCAAACTCTTCTAGGAGTATCTAAATTGCCTGTTGGCTCTAGGAAAACACAAGTGTTCCGGGACATGAAGGTATAGAAAGAAATGAACAGGCTGACCAATTAGCCACAAAAGAGGCAGCCCTCTCCCCCATGAAACTAGGACCACATCTAGGTGCACCGGAGAGTGTGCTTAAGTTTGAACTGGAAGAATGGTGTGTAAAGGCAAAACTCAAGCACTGGTCAAAAGTAGGCATGAGGGAATCTAAGAGATATATACATTTCTCAAAAAGGAAGGCGATGGAACTTCTCTCTCAAAGCATGTAGGATTTGAGACATATTAAGCAGAAGATGGGCAAACCAGAGAAAAATATTCCAACTCTGTCAAGAACCAGAGACATCGGTGCATATTCTTTGTGAATGTGAAGTACGGTAAGGCAATTCTCACACCAAAATAGGTGCCCAAAGAGGCACCAAGAAAAATGTTTATGCTTCTAGAAAAACGTGCATCTTCTATAATTTGGTTATAATTTATAGGGGTTCCACAACAGTGGCAATCGCAGGTACAATGGATACCAGGAAATGGAGGAGTCCCTCCTGAGCACTGCAGCTGTACAGCTTATTGTACTTTATCCCTGGCTCCATATTTTTGGGGGCTAGCAACACAAGTGTGAATTTGAGCCCCCGGTGTGCCGGTGTTCTTCCATCGATGTTTTGAAGAAGGTTGGGACCAAATTCAGGGTCGCTGAGATCTGATCCCGCTTCTTCCATTGATGAGTGCCGTGTCAAGTTCATTCAATTGCGGCCTTCGTTCCCCTTAGACGTCAGAAAAAGTGCAGAGCCGACGGTGTGGGTCGAACCCACGACCGCGAGATCTACTAGTCGAGAGTCTGACGCCTTAATCACTCGGCTACCGCGGCCCCTGTAAAAACCCTACTCAACCCCACAAAACTTAAAAAAAAAAAAAAAAAAAAATCACCCGTAGTACTGTTATTTTGATTCCGTATCTAATGGCTGTTGTAAAGATCACCAAAGTCTTTCTAATAATTTTAATCAATAACGGTTGTGATTTAGTGATAGTCGGTTAAACAAGGGACCGTTTTTAAAGGACTCTATTGTATGGTGCAGTGAGGGAGGGTCCTCCAGTAAGAAGCAATTCTGTATTTACTGCCCCTTGGGCCTCTCTCATCTCTCTATTGTCCCTTTCGGAAATTATTACTGCTTTTATCTCGAACCAACTATTCGTAGACAAAATGAATGGGAGAATCCAATTTGGGTTGGATAATTTTACCCAGGGAAGAAAGTCAGGATTTTCCCTCAGTTGGATGTAATACATCGAAATTATTAAAAAAAATAAAGTTTGTTTAAAATTTTTAAATTAACCATATTTAGAATTTATTCTTATGCCAGAGAAAGCCCCATCCAGGGGGAAAAAACGTAATTGAATAATACTTTTAGGTGACATCAACAGAAGGCCAAGTCAAAGGATTGCGCTCGGATGATTTCAGAGTTTCCCGAGCGGAGGTTCCATTAATTCCATAAAGGTTGTGTTTTAGAGGTCTCAGAACTCCGTTCCGGGCTCTCCGCAATCCGGAAATTACCACCTTTGTCCGTGCTCTTTGATCTAACCCACCAACTTTCGTTATCAACTTTACCCTGGTTAGGGGCCGGCTTTCAATTTGAACCCCCGGGCCGCAGTTTCGCCGCGATTAAACCGGTTGACCGCTGAACCGAACATTCTTATTTATTAAATCCAGGAATTATTTACGATTTACCTCAAGTCACATTTTTATATAGAAACAATGAAATTACTTTCGTGAAACTCACCAGACGAGGAAGGTATCGGATGAGGGCTCATGAAATTGAGCTTCGCTGAATGATGGTACGACGACATGAAAAGATCGCTCTGGTACTTGTAAGCAGTCGGGTCTGCCGCACTGGGCTGAGTCGCCGCCGCCAGCCCCTGGAAGTCGAATTTGTAGGCGTACCTCTTACCGTGCACTTTTGTCATAATGTTTTTGTCGTAGTAATACCTGGAACAAAAGAACATGGACTAGAATAATTAACCAATATTAAAAAGGACGATCTTAACAAGGCGTTCGACGGACATAATGACCGACATGATCATCTAACACCGCGAATAGACTCAAATCGATAGATTAAACATAAAAATGTAAATTATTAGAAAATTTCTAGACACATTCTTATCAGAAATGATTTTTTGGGTGGGTACTCATATAAAATATATTTTGATATGGTAGCGAAATTCGTCGCATCGATATGTGCCGCTGATAGCTGGAAAGCCTATATGGAATGGGAAGAAAGTGCAGCAAAATTGGGTTTCAGATGAACCAACAAAAACAAACTATATGGTGATAATCAGGAGACTGAAAAGGCTCGGGGATTTAGAGGTTTGTCCATTACTGTTTCGAAGCCGTGAATTCAATCGACACACACTAAAAAGAATGATATTGGACAGGACATCAAATGCAGGATTGCGGTAGGAAGGCTTTCCTCAGTACTTTAGCACTTTCTTAGCCCTTTACCCTTCGGATTATAAAGTAAAGATTGCTATAAAACATATGACCGGTGGTGTTGCTTGGGAGGACCACGACTGCTGCTGAACAAATGAAGCTGAACTGCGGAAAAGGATGATACCTTAGTGATGGGGTATCGCTAGCGAGTTTTGAGGGGGCATTCACGACCGCTCCACAGGCAGTCGCTCCGAACGTCAACCAGTGAATTACCTTCTCAAAATGGATGACGATCTCTTGTGCTACTCTTCTGTTTATTTACATATTAAAAGCAAAAAATCGAAGAGAAAATGGTGTAAGAAGTGGCTCCTGAACAGAAGCCGTAATACCCATATCAATTTGATGAAAGAACTTTCCCTTGAACCCGCTGATTGGAGGAACTATTTAAGGATGGATGAAACGTCTTATTTATTCATTATATTTAGTGTTCTATTGACCAAATTACTTCTTTCAATTATTTAATCTTTTTTGTAAGGTTTTGGTTGAAATGAAAAAGCTAGTGCCACGAGCGGGATCTGAATCCATGGCCTTCGGCTAAATACGCCGCTGCTCTACCACTTGAGCTATCGTGACTTCGATCCTCTCCGACACCAAAAAATGGCAAAAAGAGAGAAAATTCGAAAGGTTGTAGGTTGAGATGGGGAGTTGGTGCCCGAGTGGATCGAACTATCGAAGTCAGGATAGCTCAAGTGGTTAGCGCAGCGGCGTATTTAGCCGAATGTCGTGGATTCGAATCCCCTCGTGACACTATTTTTTCATTTCAACCAAAACCTTAAAAAAAAAAGATTAACGTCTTATTTATATTTACTCCAGCTTGTTACCCCCTTGATTAGAAAACAAAAGACAGTCATGAGAGAAATCATCACTACATGAAAGGTTGGCAACCACATTACGATTTCTCGCTACAGGGATGAACTACAAAGAACTTAAGTTCTCTACTACGATTTCTGATCATTGTTAGGGGTTATCAATACCGCATCTCTCATTGCATTTGTATCCTTTGTTTTGAAAACGTCGACCAACTGGTTGAGGATCGAATTTCTTTTATTTCTATCGTGGTAATATAATCATTGTCCACCACTTTCATAAACATGGTAAACTTTCATACAATTCAATCACCTCAACAATAAAATCTCGATTGGATGTCATTACCAATAAAGAATAAAGGTTTTTGACTTTTTGAGAATGTACGACGGAGATGTTTGCTCAGTGACAGAAAGACGGAGATTGCGCCAAAAAAACGAGCGTTTTCCCATTCACGACCAGGCCAGCGCGCCAAAATTCCCACCCTACACGCCAGGTTTTCCCATTCACGAACGCGCCATGCCGTCGTCGCGCCGTAGATATTTGGAGTGGCGCGAAAGAGTTTGGACCGGTAGAATATTCGGCACAGCCGGGCACGCCAGTTCAGTTTTGTCATTGACGTGGTTTTTGGAACGGCGTCGCTCCGTTTGGACCGCTAGGAGCGATCGTGAATGGCCACCTTAAGGTAAAGGTCCCGGGTTCGAATCCAGCGGCCCTGCATTCGAACCCGACATATTTACAAATAGGCGTTTTTTCAAAAACACCGGCACCCTGAGAATTTATACGACCTCTGCTGTTTCGAACCCTCGTAAAAAAAAAAGGTTTATAAATGAGCTTCTAGTGTTAATAAAATTACATGGTTGTTACTTGTTATGTGAACGAAATTAGGAACAGTTGAAACTTCTTAGTTTTTAAATTTTATAAATTTATTTTTCTTTATAATTTTAAATATTATAAATTCCTTATTGGCCATGTTAGAAAAAGGTGGCAAAGTTGGTGATTTCTTTCATACAGCAACCCTGTAATCAATCTTCACGAATAATCTTGGCACACTGAAGATTAAAAAAAATTCGAAAAATCGCTTGGAAAGTTAAATTTGGTGAGCGCGAGCGGTGAGCTATGAAAAAAATGCTTATTCAGTTCACTGAACGAGCGGTTTTGATCCGACCCAGTGCGCTGGCTGGACGAGCTTGTGGATTGACCGTCTTAGAGGGATTATGAAGAAAAATGTAAATGGGTCCAGATGTGAAGGAAGACCTTTGTCTTTCGAGCGAGGCAGTAGGTAAGAAGTCGAACGGGACGCCTTAAAATCAGGATCGCAGAGTCAAGATGTAAAAATACATAATAAATTTATAAAAATAAATGACCAAAAACAAAAACCAATTCGTTATTGTGTAAAGTGAAAAATAAAGAAAGTGAATTTGAGTAAATTTCGTTGGCATGCGAAGAGATTCATCAAAGGGCCATCTGCAAGATTTACAAAGGAATTACTGGAAGGTAACCACGACAGAATTGTCGTTGGCTTCCTGAAGGGGCACTGGCGCCTAAGAAGGCACATGGACTGGATAGATGAACTGCCCGAAGAAACACTGGGCATGCCAGGAAGAAAGGTAGACTGCAAAACAGATTTTATGTTTTTGTGAGTAGATTAGACTAGTAGATTCGATGCCGCAAGCACGATTCTAAGGAGCCGCTGGCAAGGGTAAGGAGACTATCGACCTGAAGGTGACCAGTGAATTATAAAAACAGAGGATCACAATAGATCTACACAGGACGAGGTACGCAAGGCCTTGTGGCCTTGTCTTTTATCCCTATCCCTATCTCCTAAGAGTTTCGCTGGTTACCGCTGGTGAAGATTTTGTAAATTTCTGGCCGTATTTATAAATCAAATTGTCATATAGGAGTGCAGAACGTCCAACTACCGGTTGGGGGTTGCGGACGAGGAGCTAAACCACTTTACGATGCTTTTCTCCATGTCAGAACCGCTAGCGTGGTGTTACTTGATTCGTAAAAAATTCTGCCCATTTTTATATTTCCGGTAAAATATATGATACATTTTGTTAACGTTTTAAAGTATTAAATAAAGATTTAAAGTCCTGATGAAAGGATTTATTCCTTGAACGCACGTTGAAGTAATTGAGTGTTTTCTTTATAAATTCAGTAGTTTCGTGGTCCGCTTGACCAAGTATATCTTATTAAGGTTTTTAGTTGAGATAAAAAAATGGCAAATTTCAGGAGGGAAAATTCAAAAGGTGCCGTTGAGATGGGAAGTTGGTGTACGAGTGGATCGAAAAAAATAATTTATAAGTACTTTGCATGTCTCAATGGACGTGGGTTATTTTGCCGGATTAAAAGTTAGTCCACGAAGCAAAGGCAATGACGGTACCCAACATAGCAGATCTGAACTAAACGTACGTAGTCGCACGATAAGGTCTCTTCTAATGAACAAGGGCTAAATACAAGTTGTACGAATATGTACGATCTTTTTATCGTACTTATACCTTGTACTCTTGATTCTGATATTTGGTGGGCAGTATGTTGATACAAAGCTTTTTGCAATATCAGTAGCCGTTTTCGTCTCATTGTTGGATGTTAATGTTGAGGCTGGCATGAATTTTGAAATATTATTTCGTATTTGCAGATTTTATTTATATTTTAGAAATGATGTGGGTTATTTATTGGATTAAAAGTTGGTCCACGAAGCAAAGGCAATGACGGTACCAAACATAGCAGATCTGAACTAAACGTACGTAGTCGCACGATAAAGTCGCTTCTAGCGTACAAGGGCTAAATACAAGTCGTACGAATATGTACGATCTTTTTATCGCACTTATTCTTTGTACTCGTGGTTCTGATATTTGGTGGGCGGTATGTTGATACAAAGCTTTTTGCAATATCAGTACAAGAGATCTGAAATATTAATTGTGTATGAACAAACCTGTTAATGTTGACTATATTTTCTCATGGACATGGATGCTGACCGGAGAGAAGAAACTAGTCTTAATCCTTTTAGTTAATGATCCTTTGACTCTATATACGTGTATTCATATTTTTAAAGCCAATATTGGGCGACAAAACTCAAGGATAATCAATTTACAGGTTAAAAGTTCTAAATTTGTTAAATCAGTAGAAATAGATTTGAAGTTTGATGAAGGGGATAAATTGGTCGAAAGCTTGAACCAAGCGATTTTCTCTTTTTCAAATTCTCCTTATTAAGATGTTTTATATATAATTACAATATTAATTCTGATATCAAGCACATCAAGATTCATTATTTATCATTAAAATTATTTAGGTGCATTTAAAAAAATTAACAATTGGTGGGCGGAATGTTTACAATAGAATCAATATACAATATATATAGTTTCAATGGATGTGGGTTATTTATTGGATTAAAAATTGGTCCACGAAGCAAAGGCAATGACGGTACCCAACATAGCAGATCTGAACTAAACGTACGTAGTCGCACGATAAAGTCGCTTCTAGCGTACAAGGGCTAAATACATGTTGTACGAATATGTATGATCTTTTTATCGCACCTATACATTGTACTCGTGGTTCTGATATTTGGTGGGCGGTATGTTGATACAAAGCTTTTTTCAATATCAGTACAAAGGATCTGAAATATTAATAATATATGAAGAAACCTGTTAGTGTTGACTATATTTAGTCATGGGAATGGATGCTGACCGGAGGGAAAAAACTAGTCTTAATCCTTTTAGTAAATGATCCTCTGTCTCTGTTCACATACGTGTATATATATATTTTTAAAGCCAATATTGGGCGTCAAAACTCAAGGATAATCAATTTACACGGTTAAAAATTCTAAGTTTTTTAAATCAGTAGAAATAGTTTTGAAGTTTGATGAAGGGGATAAATTCGTCGAAAGCTTCAACCAAGCGATTTTCTCTTTTTCAAATTCTCCTTATTAAGATGTTTTATATACAACTACAATATTAAGTCTGATATCAAGCACATCAAGATTCATTATTTATCATTAAAATTATTTAGATGCATTTAAAAAAATTAACAATTGGTGGGCGGAATGTTTACAATAGAATCAATATACAATATATTACCGATACAACGGACAACAATATATTTTTTTATTAAATATACTTTTCAAAAAGTGTTAGGACATTGATTTTTGTGTTACTATGTCTGTGACGGAAAGCGATAATTAAAAACCAAGACCAGGATAATTAAAAACGGCCAAATTATTAGTTTTTCACCTATGTCCAATTCCGGCTCTCTGATGGTTTGAACATTGTTAAATCTCTGAACTGAAGATGTCGTGAAACCGATAACTTTCTGACGTACTATATCCAACAGGCACGACTTCAATAACTTTTTTTTTAAATGGGTCTGGGTTTATTTTTGTTTCTATAATAACGAGCTTTGATGTATGAACTTTTACTCTATGTTTAAAGACAAAATTTGTTAAATGCTACTGCTCACTGCAATTTTCTTTTTCTGGTGTAAACTTTCCAAAAAAGAAGTTAATTATTTTAAAAAATCGATTGCTTGAGGGAGGTTATGTTCACTGGTTCATCTTTATTAGTTATTTATTATTATTATAAAAAATGGCAAAAAGGAGGGAAAATTCAAAAGGTGGGGTTGAGATGGGAAGTTAGTGTCCGAGTGGATCATAGCTCAAGTGGTTGAGCAGCGGCGTATCTAGCCGAAGATTGTGGGTTCGAATCCCGCTCGTGCCATTGACTTTTTTATCTCAACTAAAAACCTTAATTAATTGTTTTCTTTGTAATTGGGCTCATCTTTTGATTGGGTTTTAAATTTATTTTTTATATTTATATATGAATATAACTTATTGTATGTAAAATATGCAACAAATGACTTTCTAAATATTATTATTTTCCAGTTTTTCTTTTCTGGTGATGTGGTAAAAAAAAGCCAGAAAAGCGAGAAATTTGTTTTTATCACGATGATTGATTATGTATTGAACTAAACCGTTTGGAGCAGACATGTTAAGTAATTAATTTAATGAATATTAATTGGTATAAAGCAATGAAAGAATTTTATCGAGCGTTGGTTGAGTAAGAACTGTGCAAAAGGATTAGATGTGAAGAAGGTGGAAGTGGCGGATCCAGTTGTTTCCGTGGAGTTTCGCTGATTACCTTCACATGTGTTGTAATTTAGACTAACAACCCCTGGGGAACCCTTGTCGGTTCTCCCCCATCAACACGCCTCTCATTAGGGCTCCAATCCGTGGCATTCCCGACCCGCACCCCCGGCCGGGCCTAAACTGAATTTGTTTTAAATTGAAATCACGGCGGATAGCAACTGTTGATCCTTTGTGCGACCCTTCACCATTAGGAGATAACGCACTTAGCTAGGACCCTCACTTTTATCTTCGTTTACCCCGACAAACAAAGCCCGAGGAGAAATTTTCTCTGACTCACTCGAAAAATGTCAAACTACTATTTTTTTATCGTAATGTTTCTTGTTCTACGATGTTTACAAAAGTGGAAAAACGGAGACAAAATCTCTGTCAGGTCTCCATAAATTTTCGTTTTTCATATATTTTTCTGCTGCCAGTCGCTTGATCTTACATGGAGAGAATACGGAAATGGGATCATCGATTTGCCAATGGGGCTTAGTAACCAATAAAATATTTTTCAAGCAATTTAAACAATTTTTTACTATCTGAGCACACGGCAGTGCTTTGGCCAAGTTCCATTATTATCAAAATTATGAGACACTTCCCGTATAAGTAGAAATTTGATGTTTGGTACAAATGTAGGGTTTTTAAGTAAAGGTAAGTATATGAAAATTGTAATTTTCTCATAATAAATGCCGCTTTAAAGGGTTAGACTAATCATCAAAATTGTCGTATAAGGCACTTCCGGAATATGTAGATCCGTGAAATTTGGCAGAAAGTTAGGGTTTATATTGTAAATAAAGTGAAAAATTGAATATTGCAATTTTCCTAAATTAGAGCCGCTTTGCATAGGGGTGATAATCAAAACTATAAGCTACTTCTCGTGTAGGTGGAAACCTGATAGTTGGTACAACTTACAGATCTGCACAGAAATTTCATTTTCATATCTTACATGTATTTGTATAATTTAAACAATTCGGTAGTTTGCTGGTCCGCTTGACCAATTAATATCTTTCAATTAATTAAGGTTTTTAGTTGAGATACAAAAACAGTGTCACGAGCGGGATTCGAACCCACGATCTTCGGCTAGATACGCCGCTGCTCTATTACTTGAGCTATCAAATCTTCGATCCACTCGGACACTAACTTCCCATCTCAACCCTACCTTTTGAATTTTTCTTCCTTTTTGCCATTTTCAAATGTCTTGTAATCTATTTGATTCTCGGCGACAAATGGCGTATCTAGCTGAAAGTTCGAATTCCGCTCGTGACACTGACTTTTTTATCTCAACTAAAATCTTAATTAATTGAAAAATTTGAACAGTGTTTATAAATCCCAGGGCCTGAAGATGGTAAGAGTAGAGAAAATTCAGGTTTTATGTAAGGAAACGTGTTTTTCTTAAATAAATACTAAAAAATCCTAACTTTTCAACAGATTGAGTGAAAATCATGACATGAGGTCTACTGCATTTTAGTCCAATTTAGACGATACTGTCATAGAATTTTTTTAATACGCAAGCTAACCACTCTGTATAATAACCCCTGAAATACCTGCACAATAACGCTAAAACTTTTTTTTTCGCTCGCGAATATTAATCAAATGATTAAGGTTTTCAGTTGAGATAAAAAAGTCAATGGCACGAGGAGGATTCGAACCCACGATCTTGGGCTTGATTCGCCGCTGCTCTACCACTTGAGCTATCGTGACCTCGATCCACTGGGTCACTAACTTCCCATCTCAACCCCACCTTTCGAATTTTTCTTCCTTTTTGCCATTTTTCAAATGTAATCTATTTGATTCTCGGCGACGAATGGCGTATCTAGCCGAAGGTCCTGGGTTCGAATCCCGCTCGTAACACTGACTTTTTTATCTCAACTAAAAACCTTAATTAATTGAAAAATTTAAGCAGTGTAAACAATAAATCCCAGGCCCTGAAGATGGTAAGAGTAGAGAAAATTCAGGTTTTATGTTAGAAAACGTGTTTTCTAAATAAATACTAAAAAACCTAACTTTTCAACAGTTTGAGTGAAAACCATGAGGTCTACGGATTTTAGTCCAATTTAGACGGTATTGCTATAGAATTTTTTTAACAAGACAAGCCAACCACTTTGTATAATAACCCCTGAAATACATGCACAATAATGCTCAAACATTTGTTTGATTTTTCCTTCGCGAATATTAATCAAATGATTAAGGTTTTTAGTTGAGATAAAAAGTCAGTGTCACGAGCGGAATTCGAACCCATGACCTTCGGGTTTATACGCCGCGCCGCTGCTCTACCACCTGAGCTAGCGTGACTTCGATCCACTCGGACACTAACTTCCCATCTCAACCCCACCTTTTGAATTTTCCCTCCTCCTTTTTGCTGATTTTTAAATGTCGTGCAAAAAACTTAAATAATTGAAAGATATTAATTGGTCAAGCAGACCACGAAACTAGTGAAATTAATCAAATGTTTTTTGCTAGGTCGAAAAATACGTACGTAGCTAAAGCGTGTCGATAAAACGTTGATGTTGTTAAATAAAGTTGTGTCCTCTCTCTACAAATTCTCCATTGATTTTCACGAAACCAAGCTAATTTTCTGTTAAATTAATATACTTCCAAGAATAAATAAAGTTAAGACGCCGAAAACGGAAAAAATGTTGATTAAATGTGGAAATTATTATGTGATTATTAAATGATTAAGTGTAAATTATAAATTAGATACAATGATGGATTGTATGATGAAAAATTTAATTAGCCGTAGGCTGTAGTTGTTTTCCTACGCACTTTATTATAGATTTGAATGAGTTAAAGTAGTTAATTGGCATAAAATCATGTCTTTTGTCAAGTCTCTTCGTCCATATGTGCCTTCCGACACTGCCCTTTTTTAAAAGGGCGCGCTGTGAGAAAGAGAATGAGGGCGTGACAAACGCCAGCGGGGATCTTCTAATCCAATCCGACTTTAATCACCGGTTCAAAGGTTTTAGAAGACAATTACCCGCGGCGCCCAACCCGACGAATGTTTATCATTGTTTATTAGCTATTAATAATTAACAAGAAGAGTACCTTAACGCTCTACTGAGCTTGTCGTAGTTCATGTTTGGCTTGGATTTCCTTTCGCCCCATCTCCGGGCGACCTCGTCGGGGTCGGTGAGCTTGAACTCGCCGTTCGTACCCTCCCATGTGATGCAGTTGGCGTTACTCGAGTCGCTCAGCAGCTCGAGAAGAAACTGCCATAGTTGGATCTGTCCTGAACCTGAAAAAAAAGGTCAGAATCTATAAAAGGGTTCACAATTGTATCGGATCGATTCGAAATCCAGACGAAAGGAATTACATAATTTAAGGAGGAAATAAAAAGTGTGGTCCCCTGTTTCAGTCTAGCAGACACGGTACAGAATTTCGTCATCTTCAGTGGTATCTTTATGTCATTGATGAAAAAAAATCAATGATTGAAAAATGTGTTCAAAAAGCGCTAACGGACACAACAGCAGTTAAAAGAAATTATGAGCATAGTGCTGCAAGTTAACGAACTTAAAGGGTGAATTAGGTGAATTAAAGAAAATTAAATGAGAAAGAGAGACGGAGAGAGAGAGAGAGAGAGAGAGAGAGAGAGAGACTGAGAGAGAGAGAGAGAGAGAGGGTGGGACGGATGGAGGGAGTGAGGGAGAAAAAGATGAGTGAGCAAGTGCGAGAAAGAAAAAGGAGGGAATTAGCAAAAAAAAAAAAGGATATGAAAAAAGAGTGAAAGAGGAATGATCGTTCAATAAGAATGATTTGTGCATTTAAATTGGAATCTCTTCGATCTTTCTGTCAGTGATAATTATTTATTACGTGTTTATTTCGGTCAATGACAGATACGTAGATAGATAGATAGGGAGATAGAGAGAGAGATAGATAGATAGAGAGAGAGAAAGAAAGGGACAATGGTGATAGAAAAAGAAAGAGAGCTTCGCCAGCCAGAAAACAAAAGAGGGTAGATGTATAGATAGATAGACAGATAGATAAAGGGTGAGAGAGAGCAAATTATGTAGATAAAGAAAGAAAGAGAGTGAAAAAAGAGAGAAAGTGTGTGTGAGAAAGAGTAGAAAGAGAGAAAACAAATAATATACATAAGAAAGAAAAATAGTGAAAGGGACAGACAGAGAGAAAAAGGGATTCAATCTTTATTTCTGATATCATATGAAACACTTTACATTTTAAAAAAATACAAGCTCTTCACAATATTTTACAGCTTAAAGATTAAAGAATACAAGCATAAAGAATAAAAAACATTGAAATAAAGTCTTGCAATTTTTTGCAGAGAGAAACAGTAAGAGAGAACTAGAGAAATATAGAGAATGAGAGAAGGAGAGGAGAAAGGAAGAAAGAGAGAAAATAGTATAAGAATGTGAGGGATAAAGGAATGTATAGAAAAAGAAAGGAAAAGAGAGACGGAAACAAAATAAAGATAAAAGACAGAAGAAATGGAGAGATAAGAAAAGGGAGAGTGAGAAAGAAAGGGAGAAAGTGTAAATGATTAAAACCGAGGTTGAGGTAATGGTAAATATGGTATTATTTTTTTAAATGTCGTGTAATCTATTTGATTCTCGGCGAAAAATGAAATGGCCACGGAGAGCTGAAGGTGAGAGAGTGAAGGTATACTTCAATTTTACTTATTAAATTTACTAATTTTCGAAATGGCAAAAAGGGAGGGAAAATTCAAAAGGTGGGGTTGAGATGGGAAGTTAGTGTCCGAGTGGATCGAGGTCACGATAGCTCAAGTGGTAGAGCAGCGGCGTATTTAGCAGAAGATCGTGGGTTCGACTTTTTTTATCTCAAGTGAAAACCTTAATTAATTGAAAGTTAAGTATAACGTTAAAAAGAGTCGGCCTTTTTGCGACCTGCGCACCGCGTCCAATATTGGTCTATTGTGCATGTAATTATTACATGGGATCTTCGTTAAGCTTGAGGCTATTTAGCAAATCCCAAAGAAATAATGGGGTAAGATAGCCGAAACTTTTCTGACAGACCATCCCATCAAGGCAGGTAGACGAACGACGTTCCAATCAAATTACAAAACAGCTTAGGTGCTTAGGCCAGAATGATCGTTAAGTAACAAACTCCATAGACCATATAATTTTAACCATTAACTGATCGTTCACGTTTTATATTATATAATATTCGAGGTTTTATATTATTTGAGTATTACTTCTCCAGTTCTTTTTCAAACCCTGTCTCGGCGGGTTTTACTGGGAATGTCAAGCACCCTGGACACATAAGCTTGATTTCTTTTATCGTCCCACAATGCTACGAATTCTAGCCGAATCCGTATGACTTAAAGCCATCACTGAAGCAAATAAAAAAAAGTAATAAAAAAATAAATCCACCGAAACGTTAGAAAGGACAGAAAAACCAACACCGAAAGGATTGATTATTCAAAGGGTTTTTTAACCAAATTTTACCAAATCTATTTTGAAACACATGCCGGAGATATTATCTCTAATTCTTTAAACATTCCTTAAAAATATTTAAGGTGGTCATTGTATTTTGCCTCTCAGCGTAATATAGAATCGATATAAAATCGTAACTCTGGAATACTAGCGTATTGCATGTTTTTATTTAGGACAAACCGGGTTGAAAGGGTTAATTTTTTTTTTAAATAAATCAAATCAAGTACAGTGCGACCCAAACGGAATAAGGTCGTCGAACGTCCGAGGGGGTGTTTAATTTATATAAATCACAAAAAATAAAAGGTGGGGGGTATAAAAACCCCGCCGGAAGCGCAATTCGCGACTGTCATAAATCAAGTCAGTTCGCAAGCGATAATTCTGCATTGTCGAATGTGCCGAGGCCGAGTGAGAGGGCTCCGAGCGTGACGAGGGTTTAGCAAAAAAAAAAAAAAATCCCAAAGAGTTTTAATAAATTTATTCTCCTGGGGCATCAGAGGGGGGCGATTTGCTGGGCAATAAAAGTTGGAACAGGAGAGATAATAAAAAACAAGGGCCATGTCCACGTCCACGGAGGGGATAAACAGAGTGTGACGCACGGGTGAACAGGTGAACGTTATGTGACCTTCTCTGACCCTCTCGCTCCCCCGAATGGACCCTATCGTAACTTTGCGTTTTTCTACTTTTCTACCCTCCATCGGGGAAAACAATTTATTGCCCCTGTTCGATTTGCTTGGCTCCAGAAAAAATATTACCAATTAATCTTCATAGATAAAATCGGTAAGTTATGTTGTCATTTCTCCTTTAGTCTTGTTATAACAAATTTATTTTTTTAACAACGAATCGTGGCAATAAATTTGAATTGGTTAGAAGAAGTGTGCACCTTGATAATTTAAGATATAATCTAGTATGAATTAAAATTAAGGTGTTTATTAAAAAGGCACCTGCCCTTAAAAATATAGTCAGTTATGTGACTGATGTCGTTTATTTTATCGTATTTCTCATTTAATGGATCTTAACATAAATTTTATATCTTTCAATTAATTAAGGTTTTTAGTTGAGATAAAAAAGTCAGTGTCACGAGCGGGATTCGAACCCACGACCTTCGGCTAGATACGCCGCTGCTCTACCACTTGAGCTATCGTGACTTCGATCCCCTCGGACACTAACTTTAACATCTTTTTCATCTTCGAATTTTTTTTTTTTAATTAACAAAAGTGGCCATAAATTTGGAAAGACTTCACCGATCTTTAAGAAACTTTACCGTAATTTAGAACAATAAAAACTACATGTAATAGCGTAAGCCTGTCTTACGCAAATAAATGAAAACGGAAGAAATAAAATAAAACATTTGGATTGTTTTTGTCTCTGCCATCTTTATTTTTCTCAGTTATAATTACATAAAATCTAAAAATTTCTAAAATTCTAAAAATTCTAAAATCCACTCGAACACTAACTTGAAAAATGGCAAAAACGAGGAAAAATTCAAAAGGTGGGGCTCAGATTGGAATTTAGTGTCCGAGTGGACACTATAAAATATGCATATATAATTATATATAAATCTTTCAATTAATTAAGGGTTTTAGTTGAGATAAAAAAGTCAGTGTCACGNCTTCTTTCTCTACATTTTTGCTTTCTCTCTCCATTTCGTTTTCTTTCTCTATTTACATGTTTCACTTTCTCTGATTTTCTCCCTTCTTATTTCATTCTCTACTTACATTTTCTCTCTCTTTCTACTCATCACTCTCTCTTCCATTCTTATCTCTGCTCGCCTTGGATTATTTACAGTACCGCCCCAGTTTTTACAGATATAGCTGATAAATTTGATTTAACAATTCGCTTATTAAGGATAACTTTTCCTTATATTTTATTGATCTACTTAGTCTCGTTAGATTTCTCTTGCTGATTTTCTTGCTTTGTTGAATCCCTTTCTCTATCTCATTCTTATAAAAATTTTCTCTGGCTTTCTGTCTCTCTCTCTCTGTCTCTCGCTCTCTCTCTCTTTCTCTCTCTCTCTCTCTCTCTATTTCACACTCCCTTCTTAACTCTTCTGGCTGCCTCTCTCTCGCTCTCTCACTCACTCTCTTTCTGTCTCTCTTTCACCCACTCTCTTTCTGTTTCTCTCACTCACTCTCTCTCTCTCTCTCTCTCTCGCTCTCTCTCCCCCTCTCTCTTTCTCTCTCTCGCTCTCTCTCCCCCTCTCTCTTTCTCTCTCTCACTCACTCTCTTTCTGTCTCTCTTTCACCCACTTTCTTTCTGTCTCTCTCACACTCTCTCTCTCTCTCTCTCGCTCTCTCTCTCGCTCTCTCTCTCTCCCCCTCTCTCTTTCTCTCTCTCGCTCTCTCACTCACTCTCTTTCTGTCTCTCTTTCACCCACTCTCTTTCTGTCTCTCTCACTCTCTCTCTCTCTCTCTGTCTCTCTCTCTCACACACTCTCTTTCTGTCTCTCTCTCTCTCTCTCTCTCTCTCTCTCTCTCTTTCTCTGTCTCTCTCACTCTCTCTCTTTCTCTCTCTCTCTCTCTCTCTCTCTCATCTCGATTTATAAAATAGCCAAAATAGCCAACATAAAATGGCAAGACGTTTACCTGAATATTGTTTTATTCTTTATGACTTCTAAATCGCGAATTATTTTGAAAAGCTCGTATTGGATTATAATGGAAAGGGTTTCGTGATACAACAGAAATAAACGTTTATTACTCAAGCTTAATCGAAACTCTACGCTAAATTGCGTTTTTTACTTTATTCTTATCAGTGCAATCGTGTTTCATTATATGACTAGTTTATTCTAACGTATGCGGTTGGAGGTGGAGTGCGAACAATTATTTAGAACTGGCCGTGAATGAACTGTAACGAACTCGAACCGGTATTAATATTCAAAGAGTTGAGATTTAACTAGTTTCGATAAGGGTTAGCGTGTGCTCAATGAGGTGCATGGCGAATGTCGGCAATAAACATGCTTTTCATTGGCGGTTGTGTTCTCTGCCTTATATTTTTCCTTTTAACGTTGAAAATTTTCTTCGTGGTTCGTTGCTATTTAAAGATTTTGTTTAAATTAAAAACCGACTTTTCAGCAAATTTTACGTTTCTATACATGAGCAATAAAATGTTACTGCTTTTCGTTTTTTGAATGTTTGCAATTAATTAGAAACTGTAAATGATAGTTGATACTATTCGAAAAATTTTCAGCATACGTAAAAACGCTCGTCAATTTTTCATTCTAGGCTTGTGAATTTTATCTGGGCTACAAACAAAAGAACAAAGAAAGAAGTAGAGATGGATTTAATTAAAGTCATAGTTTAGCAACGAAAGATTAAAATGTACATTAAAAATATGCAAATACTATTATATAATAATATAATAAATGATACAATTGTATATTATTAATTTTATCTTTATGCCTCACTCTCACCTGTTTTCGCTTTTACTCTATTTACAGTACCTATGAGAATATCTGATGCACTGTTTCTCTTTCCATCTTTCCCTCATCTCGCTTTCATTATATTTATCCATAAATCTATTTATTTATCGATCGATTTTTCTTTTGTTTTTGGTCCATTATCTTCCCAACCACAACTTTTCTCGGTCTAACATTATCTATAACTCTATCTTTTCTTCTTTCACTCTATTTAATTATAAATCTATTCTTTACCTGTGGACATGTATGTTTTGCTTTTTCCATCATTCTTAGTTTCTTTCCCTACTTCATTGCTTCATTCTCACAGTCTCTCTCTCTCTATATATAGGTCGATCTATCTATCAATCTATCTATCTTCCTCTCTCCCAAATTTAACACTATATTTACATAAATCTTAATTTATTATGTTTTTTAAAATTTCAATTTAATAATTTTTTTCTCTACTAAATACTCCAATTATACACTCTAAGCAGGCGAACTATCTATTTGTTAAATATAAGAGAAAAATTAAAACATTAAACTTAAGACAAAATAATATATTCGAAATTCCAATACATAGAACTAAAACATAATCCAATTCTTTCTTAATTACCAGCATAAAGATGTTTAATAATGTTCCAAATGGTATTTCCTCTGATAGAGATTTTCTTTCAAAAGAAAATATCTAAAACACATGATGGCCAATAATTAAAACCATCCTAAAATCATGGAATCATAAATTAATTATGTATTATATTTTGGTAATTAACGTTTTTAGTTGAGATAAAAAGTCAGTATCACGAGCGGGATTCGAACCCATGATCTTCGGCTAGATACGCCGCTGCTCTACCACTTGAGCTATTCTGACTTTGATCCACTCGGACACCAAATTTCCATCTCAACCCCACCTTTTTGAATTTTACCTCCTTTTTGCCATTTTTCAAATGTCATGTAATCGATTTGATTCTCGGTGATAAATGAAATGGCCATGGAGAGCTTTATTGAAGGTATACTTCATTTTAACTTATTAAAATCACTAGTTTTCGTTGTCTTTATTAAGGTTAATTAAGGTTTTTAGTTGAGATAAAAAATGGCAAAAAGGAGGGAAAATTCAAAAGGTGGTGTTGAGATGGGAAGTTAGTGTCCGAATGGATCGAGGTCACGATAGCACAAGTGGTCGAGCAGCGGCGTATCTAGCCGAAGGTCGTGGGTTCGAATCCCGCTCATGACACTGACTATTTTACTTCAACTAAAAACCTTAATTAATTGAAAGATATTAATTGGTGAAGCGGACCACGAAAACTAGTGAATTATATTTTAGGTTTCTGCATTCTCTATGTAAGTATAATATAACGAAAAATAAAAAATAATTGGTTAATTAATTTAAAGTCATGTATATCAAAAAATCGTAAAGTTTTTATTGTTTATCTTTTTATTTTTTTTTAATTTTTATTCATTGATTGCTTACATAGATAAATACATATTGTCTTATAAATTTATAAACCGAAAATTGTCGTATTGTGAAAAATTTAGTAAAAAATGTGTAAAACTTTGTTTTGTCTTGTATTCTATTTGCAAAATAAATTGTAAAGACCAAAAAAAATTGCATAAATTATATATATAATGTAAAATGTACAACACACGTTACATAGAAGAAAGGTCCAGGAGACCTAACTTTGCGTGGTTAAATAAAACTTTTAATCTCTCTCTCTCTCTCTCTCTCTCTCTCTCTCTCTCTCTCTCTCTCGCTATCTCTCTCGCTCGCTCTCTCTCTCTCTCTCTCGCTATCTCTCTCGCTATCTCTCTCGCTCGCTCGCTCGCTCTCTCTCTCTCTCTCTCTCTCTCTCGCTATCTCTCTCGTTATCTCTCTTATTTCAATCTATTTTTTTAACTTTTATAAACTTTACGCATTTTCATCACTTAAACACCCATCCTTCATCCTCTATCTCTTTCTCTCTATCAACCATCCATATATTGCTTAGTCTTTTAATCCCATTCTCACCTAAGTGGTGAATTAATGTTTAATTAAAGTAAATTTGAGATTCAAATGATCGGCCCTTTATCCGTCAAGTCGTCCCCTTTTTATTACAGCAACATCGATCATTTAGCCACCTTAGCTCGTATTAGATCACACCCCCTAGTGCCAGTCATAGTGAAAGGGGGGCTGTAAACCATCAATATCGTCCGATAAAAGAGTTCTGGAAACAAATTCCCTTCTGTTTATTGACGTAATCTCGTTTCACTGGGCCTAACGTGGGGAGAGAATAATGAATATTAATATGTGCCGGGTGCAACCTCACCTGAACTCGCTAGTCTACTGCTGGTCGGTCCGAACATCTGGTAAGGATCTGAAACAAAAAATACTGATTTGAATGTAATACCGTGAAAAAACAGAAGAAAGGGAAGGGTTAATAATATTTCCACAATATTATGCCGTAGGCAAATATCAATCATTTCAGAAGAAAACTAACATACGAATTGTTTCCTGTTATCAGACATTGGACTGTTTAATGCATTGTTCTCGACATCCTCAAACTATGCTTTATGGAATGGCTCGCATAAACTCTACAGAGCGTATATAATCCTAATTGATTGTTATAGGTATTGTGTGGCTTTGAGATTAGACCACTTGATATCTGATCCTAGTTGATAGTGAATAGAATGTACAGAGTAACTCATATAAATACAGGGTTGATGTAATTAAAGGCAAAGATAATATTTGCACAGTGTTCTTTTTATTGTCTTCAATTTTCCTTTTTGGTTTGCTACTCAAACTACGGTACATAGTGTAGAAATGTGCGGTGATTNAGTGCCATTGACTTTTTTATCTCAACTAAAAAACCTCAATTAATTGTAATATATTAATTGGTAAAGCGGACCACGAAATTAGTGAATTTTTTTTTTTTATATATATTCAATCACAGTATTTCTACTGTACATCGCAAAACCTTGTCGAAAATTTATAATATTAATTAGTTAAAGTCAATATTAATTTGACTGTTATCTAAAACTTTAATGACGTTTAAGTATGATATAGTTCTTTTTAAAATAGCCTTTTTGTCAGTATATTTCAAAAATGATATTTTCTCTTTTCTTTCTTTATTTTCTCTTCTCAAGCCCCACTCTCTCCTCTCATTCTCTTTTTTTCCTGTTTTTCTCACCCTATTTTTTCGATAAACTTTTACGTTTACTTTTATCCACTTGTTCCCCTATAATTTACTTTTATCTCATTTTACCTTTCTTTCCTTGTCTTTCTCAATACTGATGCCCTAAAAACCTTTCCCTCTCACTCTTTCAAGAGAGAGAAATAGAGAGAGTCGAAGAAGCAAGCAGAGAGCGAGGAAGAAGAAAGAGGGAATGAGATTGATATATTTATATANACAAAGAAAGAGAAAAGAGTATCTGAAAATAGTATATAAGTAATAAGAGAGTAAGTATATGCAGAGAGGAGAAAAACAAATCAGGCGAGAGGGAAAAATATTATAATTAAAAGAGAAAGATTAGATTAGTAGTTTCGATGTAGTTTTGAATTTGTGGTGTGAATGTTGTTGAGTGAAAAATGATCACATAATTTTGTATGCTCATCCAATGACGTTTTGATATTTAATGTGGAAGTTTTTGTTTGGTTTACAGACCTCTACAAAATATCTTCCAATTTAAGATTTGTGTTAAAATAGAAGAAATTGGGGAGGGGGGCGCAACGGTTTAGGCGTTGACACGGCGCCCATCACTGTAAGGTAAAGGTCCCGGGTTCGAATCCAGCGGCCTTGCACTCAAACTCGACATACTTACAAATGGGCTTTTTTTTCAAAAACCACCGGCACCCCGAGGGTTGATATAACCCTCTGCTGTTGCGAACCCTCGTAAAAAAAAAAATTTAGATAATTTCATTTAAAAGATCAGTCGATATGAGGTTTTTCTTGAAATGGGTTCAGTCTAGTTGATATTGTAATGTGTGTTTGACAAATCTGCTGCAGGAAATGGAACTCTCGATCAACTGGATCGTACAATTAATGTACCGGGGTAGCCAATTGACAAATAGTACGGTCGTAAATCCTTAAAATCCTGTCGTAATGTGATGTTAATGACACACTAACGAGAAGGAGGGCGATATTAAATATAAGGGTAGGGGCCAGACGCAGTGTTGATCGCCCCTCGTCCCTCGGGGTAACTTCCGCAACGCTAATATATATTTATTGGATAGGGCGTTTCTATTGTTTACTTTGCACCCCCTAATCACGACTCATCCCACCGCCCCTAATGCTCATTTGCATCTTTTGTTCTTATTTTATTAAGTGTTGAAGGCTTTCGGCCCAAGGGATGGATAATGACTTCTAAGCCGACACCCAAAGACAAATTACGGCACTTCTCTCTCTCATTCTCTATCTCTTTTTCTTCTCTACTTTATGAAGGTTGGGAATAATTTTTTTTAACCAACTTTTACCCACCCCCTCTTTAGAAAATAGAAATTCTTTTGTTCATTTAAAAAAAATTGATTGTCACTGCCCCTGGTTCTTAATTTTGAGAAGTAGCGGTCCTGGGTTCAAATCCGGGTTCCTCCGTTGAAATGATCATGTAAATTTAGGTTAGGGACTATCTATACACCTCTTATCAATTCCCGTCTTTTCTTATTCAATTTTTATTGTATACACTACCACTGTCTCTCATTCTCTCTGTCTCTTCTTCCTCTCTCTCTCTCTCTCTCTTCTCTGTCTTCTCTTCCTTTGTCTCTTTTACATGTTTTATCTGATTAATTTCTCCTATCACTTTCGACTTTCCCTCACTCTATTTACCTATTTATAGCTCTTCCCCACAGATTCTCTTTTTTAATTTCTCTCATTTCCTCTCCCCCTCCTATCGTTTTATCTGTAGATCTCTATTTCTCTGTGTTCTGTCTCTTGCTTACTCTTTCTCTGTTATTCCTACTACCTCTTTTTCCTTTATTTTTTATTTCAATCATTCATCTCTCTCACTCTCTATCTCTCTTTCTCTGTTATTCTTTCTACCGCTCTCTTCTTTTATTTTTCTCTCAATCTCTCGCACTCTTGTCTCTCTTTTCCTTTCTACTCATCTATCTATCTAGTAATCTATCTCTTTTTCACTTTCCCTTTGGCAACTTTTTAAGTTATTCTTTCTTAACCATTTCTTACTTCCTTGCTGTTTCTGTATCTCTCTTGTTATTTGCAATTTATATCATTCGCTCGCCCCTTCCTTTTTCCTTTCCATCACTGTCTCTCCCTTTGTTTTCTTTCTATGCCACTCTTTTCTCCCCCTCTTTCTTTTAATTTATCTTTCTCCGATGTTATTTTTTCTCATATTTTGTTTCACTTCTGATTCTTTTATTTTTTGTCTGTCTCTTTTCTGTTGACGAAGGTGCAGAATAACCTGCAAAAATAATAATTTTTGCCAACTTTTAGAAACCACTCTCTTTAGAAAAACATGAACAATCGTTTATTCAGCTAAAATGTTTGATTATCAGACCGTGTGGCACATAATTGTCAAAAGCGCCGGTTCTGGGTTCAGATCCTGTGGTGGCTATTGATATTTTCTGAATTTGAAAATTTAGGTTGTCCGTCACTAGAATGTTACCATGATAAGTGTAAACTAACTCAATTATTGGTAAATGATGATTTTTATAAAAATTAAACTTTATATTAATTAAGGCTTTAAGTTGAGAGAAAAAAGTCAGCGTCAGAAGCGGGATTCGAACCCACGATCTTCGGCTAGATGCCGCTGCTCTACCACTTGAGCTGTCGTGACCTCGATCCACTCGGACACCAATCTACCATCTTAACCCTAATCTCGAGGTCACGATAGCTCAAGTGGTAGAGCAGCGGCGTATCAAGCCGAATATCGTGGGTTCGAATCCCGCTTCTGACGCTGACTTTTTTATCTCAATTAAAAACCTTAATTAATTGGAAGATATTAATAGGTCAAGAAGTGAATTAAACTTTATGTTAGTGTTAGGCCAATCGTGCGCCTATTTCCTTAAATGGGATGAAACTTTAGTTTGCTACGAAGTTAAACTTTTATTATAAACCGTGTGCCTCCCGGACAGGAGGGTTTTCGCTACAGACAACGGTTTTTGTGTATTTGTAAATATTTGCCGTTGACCAAGCTGAGTCAGTAGTGGACAGGGATTGTCCATTAACCCTCGGCCGTCCTTCCCATTTAACACCACATTACACCGGCCATATACAATATTGACTCAAGTCACACATCCTAAATGGGAATTCTCGTTGCTATTGGGAGGATGGTCAATATATAGATGAATTCCTCTCACGGTCGGCCAAGAAGCTATATTGCTTTCGCAGACGTTTAAAGCCCTAAAGTTCGTGTTTAAAATGCAAAATTGCACCGATTTTCGCCGAATCGTCCCTAAATTATTTCCACGACGATAAAAAACTTAACTTTACCGCTTTTACGTATCGCAATTAGTAGTTTAAAGGCGCGTGTCTAAGCAGTTTTAAGGAAAGAATATAAAATACCAGGTGGATTGAACTATTATCGACGTTCGCACTCCTTGGAACATATCTCTAAATTCTCATTCATCTTTTCAACTCGGTTATTGATTTGACTTCTCTTATCAGTTAATGTCTTTCGACATTAGAGCCAGATAAACCGACGGTAACACTTTTAAAAACACATTTAACCCTTATTTCAAACAGAACAAGAAAAATAGAACTTACGTTACCTATCACCTGATATTATCTTTCTTTTTACCATTAAAAATGATTAACAGGTTTTGTTTAAAGAAGTTCAAAAGGAAATTAGAATGAAAGTTAAACCAAAAGTAAATTCCATTACAGTCTGATCATCAATTAACAATATTACGATAAAAGCACTATTTTACGTAAAAAGTAAAAATCTGAGGAGGATATATCAAAAGTTCATCTAAGAAGAATGTACCATAAAAACGATTTATATTTAAAAACCATATTTCACCCACGCCATGTGAAAATTACGCATGCTTCAAGAACTAAAATATGATGGGTTTTCCAAGTTTCCTTAGATTCGGCCGGAACAACAATTACGATAGCGTTTATAATTAATAGGAAAAAATTAAGGATCTTTTGGAAATTAAACAAAAACATTAACGTCCTTTGCGAGAATCCTTAAAGATTCTGACGGACGACGTTTCAAAATTCTTTCTCTCTTTCTCACCTTCGCTCTTTTTCTATCATTTTGCTACGACTTTTTTCATAATCAGTTTTTTTTTCGTTGAGTTTCCTTTGTCCCTTATGTTTTACGCTGTCCTTCCTGTTTTTTCAGTTACTATATCTCATTCTCTTATATATATCTCCCTCTGTCTTGCTCTGTTGTCCTTTCTACCTTTTTCTTCTTCCTTTTTTCTTTTAATCACTGTCTATAAATTCTCTCTCACTTTCTTTCTCTCTCTTTCCCTCTCTCTCTATCTCACTGTCTTTTGCTCTATCTGACTTTCTAATCTCTGCGCCTCCTTTTTATCTTTCAATCACAGTCTCTCATTCCTCTGTCTTTCTCTCTCTCCCTCTCTTTTGTCCCCTTTTTCTTTATTGTTTTTCTACTTCTCTTTCCTTATTTTTTCAATCACTGCCTCTCCTTTCTTTTCTCTCACGAAAATAGGGTTAAATGAAAGAAAAAGAGAGTGAGAAATTTTAATTAGAACACAGAAAACATTAATTGTAAAAGTTAAAGAAAGATTGAGCTAAAATGGGATAGTAATACAATTAAAATACAATTCAAAAACATAGAGAGAAAAGAGAATGAGTGGTAAGAGCTCACTCTTTCTTTAACTTTCTCAATTAATGCTTTCTGTGTTGTAATTAAAATTTCTCACTCATTTTTTTTCTTTCATATAACGTTATTTTGTAGATCTCTTTTTTCGTTCACCCTTTTACTCTCTCTCCCTCTCTCTCTCACTCTCTCTCTGTCACTCACTTAGTTTCTTTTTTTCTCTATCCCACTGTTTTTTGCTCTACATTACTTTTTAATCTCTATGCGTCCTTTTTATTTTTCAATCACTCTCTCTCTCTCTCATTCCTCTGTCATTCTCTCTCCCTCTTTTGTTCCCTTTTTCTTTGTTATTTTTCTACCTGGCTTTCCTTCTTTTTTCAATCACTGCCTCTCCTTCCTTTCCCCTCACGAAAATAGAGTTAAATGACTGAAAAAGAGAGTGAACAATTTTAATTAGAACACAGAAAACATTAGTTGAGAAAGTTAAAGAAAGTGTGAGCTCTTACCACTCATTCTCTTTTCTATCTATGTTTTTTTAATTGTATTATTATCTCATTTTACCTCACTCTTTCTTTAACTTTCTCAATTAATGTTTTCTGTGTTCTAATCAAAATTTCTCACTTCCTTTTTCTTTCATTTAACCCTATTTTCGTGAGAGAAAAAGAAGGAGAGGCAGTAATTAAAAAAAGAAGGAAAGAAAGGTAGAAAAACCAGAAAGAAAGAGGGAACAAAAGAGAGAGAGAAATTAATTAATTTAAATTTATTCTTTTTTCTTTCGTATAACCCTATTTTCTCCATCTCTCTTCTCTCTCACTCTCTTACTCACTCTCTCTCTCTCTCCCTCCCTCTCCATCTCCCCCCGCTCTCTCTCAAGCACGAATTGATGGCCTAATATATTACTATTATTTTAAATTAATACTGCTTAAAGAAATCATTCGTTTATGTTATTTTATATTAAAATGTTTAATGTTTACTTTGATTTTTAATAAAGTCGTAATTTTGTATTGTATAGGACAAATCTGAATCTTTAAACGATACATATCTGAATATAATGGATTTGAGAAAATATTTACAAATCTTCTTTGTTTATTCTGTAACGGATATGAGAACGTTTGGCGGAGTAATTTTCCAAGGGAGATATAGGTCTCAAATAGCCACTGTGTACCTAATTTTCAGTATGTATAATTTTATGGGATTTACATAGTTATTGTTTTTTAATCAGCATACTATCTGGAGGTTGTGACCAGTCAATCAGGACAGCCAATCGACAACTGCGCTAGTTATCAGGAGGTCTGAGGTCAGGAGTCGGACGGCCGCCGACGTTAGGTGTACGACAATCAATCCGAGATTTCCACCGTCACGCAATTCGACTCCCACGTTTTCATATCATTGCCCACTTATTCAAGTGTTAGTCAGAACGGGTGCTGACTCAGGCAATGCCGTGACCCCTGACCGGAGTCAAGTGCGCTGAGTCAAATCCAGCCAGCACGCCGGTAATCACACAATTACACGACCTTTCATTAGCATATTATCGTGCGATGATCGGTCCGATCTCACCTTTCCCTTGCCTACCGCTTTCTAACGGGTTTGTCCGAATTTCATATTATTTAATGCCTTTCGTGTAAACGGTTCAGATATGTCATTTAAACTGGCTGTTACTAACCTGGCTGCCTCAGATGGGTGTGAGCGTCCAGTGAGGACTTGGCCATTCCGGTCAATGAATTGCTGTACCCTGTCAACAACATAAACATTTATTTTACTCCCTTTATTTATCTATTATTTATCTTCCTCAGATTGTCATAACACTTTTAATTTAATCAAGGCTAGAGTTACAATAAATAACTAATCAAGCATATGCCTCAATCCATTTACATCCATCCCATTTAAAACATTAAAATTAATTAAAAAATATATCTCATTGTTTTCAACCAAAAACGACATTTTGACATTCTGACACAAATAAAACTATTCAAAAGTTCAAAGTTGTTCGGCTTGCAATTTAGCCCAGTAACTTTATAAAATTGTACTCTTCGCACTAGATGTCAAATGGTAATAAATAATAGTAAAACCTTAAATAAAATAGGATGATGAGTTTTCATTCAGATTAATTAAGATTTTATTATTCAAAATTTTATATTCTAATCACTGTGTTGTAAAGAGATAAAATAAATAGAGGAGAAAACGAAAAGAGAAAATATATATGTAAATTAACTAATTTGGTGGTCCGCTTGACCAATTAATATATTACAATTCATTGAGGTTTTTAGTTGAGATGAAAAATGGCAAAAAGGAGGGAAAATTCAAAAGGTGGGGTTGAGTTGGGAAGTTAGTGTCCCAGCTATACGGATACGATAGCTCAAGTGGTAGAGCAGCGGCGTATCTAGCCGAAGATCGTGGGTTCGAATCCCGCTCGTGCCATTGACTTTTTTATCTCAACTAAAAACCTTAATTAATTGTTATATATATGTAAATGTTTAGAAATTAATTAATTTTTTGTCAGGAACATTATATCAATTAATCCGTGCTGGTTGAGCCAAATTTTTTTGACTCGTTCGTCCATTATATTTAAGATATTACGAGTTTATAATTTTAATTGAGCTATTAGCCTGACTAGCATTATAAATTATTAGTATTTAAGGTTTTTAGTTGAGATAAAAAAGTCAGTGTCGTTGTGATGTTCGTCGAATAGCAAATTGTGTGGCACATTTTTTTCATCTGGTGCATTTCGTAAATAATTATCGTTGCTCCAGAGGAGAGTATTTTGATCCAATCAAGCTATCTTCGATCATTTTTTCTTCCCTAATATAATTTTGAGGGATACTTTATTGGAATCAGTACTGAAGAAAGATTAGTTTATTTTTACATCATACAAAACAACGGTTGGAGTTGTTATTAAGTGTTGTAACAATTTCTTTATTGACTAGACCCGTTTGATGACTTCATTTATGATTGTTTTTATTTAATGGGAATCAATTAATTAAGGTTTTTAGTTGAGACAAAAAAGTCAGCGGCACGGGCGGGATTCGTACCCACGATCTTCGGCATGATACCATACCACTGCTCTACCACTTGAGCTATCGTGACTTCGATCCACTGGGACACTAACTTCCCATCTCAACCCCACCTTTTGAATTTTCCCTCCTTTTTGCCATTTTCAAATTCAAAAGGTGGGGTTGAGATGGGAAATTAGTGTCCGAGTGGATCGGAGTCACGATAGCTCAAGTGGTAGAGCAGCGATGTATCTAGCCGAAAGTCGTGGGTTCGTATCCAACTCGTGACACTGACTTTTTTAACTCATCTAAAAACCTTAATTAATTGAAAGATATTAATTGGTCAAGCGCACCATGAAAACTAGAGAATTTAATAAATTATTAGCAGTTATAAGGGAATTTAGACGTAGGCATTGTTGTTAGTCTATTTACGACATTATTTTGTGTTGAGCGATGTGGGCCACGATATCTTAGCCAAATGGCTTATTTGCATGCTGACCTTCGGTAATAACGATCATCTGGGAGAATGTGTGGTCATCAAAGAAGAAATGATTTTTCCTCGTAAAACCCGAGAAATAAGCAGAGGTTAATTTAAATAAGCAAGACAGGCGGTGTTAAGCTGGGGGATGATCTATCTAGCCAAACCAATAAAAGGAAAAAATTGGAAATAACGTTAATCCAAAAGAAAATTTAAACTCATAATTTCACTTTTTTTAAATCTAGATCTAAAAGTATGAAAATCTGACTCATAATATCAGTCAATGATGTTGATCGGCGAAAAAAGGCCACGAAAATCACAATAACCAATGCCAAAAATTCAAATTTATTTTGAAACACAGCCCTTTTTGTCCCACAAGATCCGACCATCCCGCGTCTCAATATTTCATGCGTGCTACTCAAAAAAATGATGATTACTTTGTTTTATGGGCTGATTTGGATAATTATAGTTATCCCCTTATTATTATAGCTATACATGTACTACTTTTATATTACAGTATTTATGTAAAATTATAGCACTATTATAATTATACAAGTATTAATAATTATCATTTTGTTCTTCTATTCCCAGAGAAAAAGATGGATAGATATCGAGAGAGAAAGATTGATTGATAGAAATAATTTGGAGAAATGTGAGAATACACGTTACTTTTCAACACAAATGCACGTATCACAACATAGTTAAACAAAGAATCTATGAAAAAGTTGGATAGGAAAAATATAGATATGAGGGGGTAGACATAGACTGACATTTGAGAGAGAAAGAGAGCAAGAGAGAGAGAGAGAGAGAGAGAGAGAGAGAGAGAGAGAGAGAGAGAGAGGAAGGAATAAGTGAATAGCGAATAAATTAGAAACAGTGTACTATTGGTAGAGTATGATAATGTGAAAAATAAACAGAAGTCCGAAACAGATAAATCCGAAGAAAGTGACTCAAATAAAAGAAAAATATGTATATATAAATCTTTCAATTAATTAAGGTTTTTAGTTGATAAAAAAGTCAGTGTCATGAGCGGGATTCGAACCTCCGACCTTCGGCTAGATACGCCGCTACTCTAACACTTGAGCTATCGTGACATCAATCCACGCGGACACTAACTTCCCATCTCAACCCCACCTTTTGACTTTTCCATCCTTTTTGCCTTTTTTCAACTTTTTGACTTTTTCTGACTTTTTTATCTCAACTAACAACCTCAATTAATTGAAACATATTAATTGGTCAAGCGGACCACGAAAACTAGTGAATGGATTATATACAAAGTTCATAAAGAAATTATATACTTATATAGAAGATAAAGTTGACCGAAAATTACCATTTTGTGAATTATATGTAGTTTGTACATTTATTTTGTAAATAATAACACAATTTTTAAACCAAAATAGGACCATATAAAAGTAAATTCGGTGCTAAATCTAAAAATGAGGTCAAATGTTTGTAACAGAAAGTAATTAATTAAAATCAAAGTACGAAAGAATGGAGAGAATTCAGAAAAGAAACTGGTTTTTCTTAAATAAACACTAATAAAAATCGTTACTATATATATATATATATATATATATAGATAGAAATGAGAGAGGAAAGAAAGAGTGAGAATTGGTACTACTTAAAATTTGGTATGGACTAAGAATGACCAATAATTACAAAATCTCTACATTTCAGGTGATAAGTTTGGTCCTCCGGGCAAGATGTTACTGCCATTCTTCCATGACTATGGAGTTTCATTTTTGGGAGGAGAACTTGCGGAAGAAACACTAAGATATAATCTCCGAATTTCGCAAAATAAATCGTCGAAGGATTTTTGAACAGAATTTATGCCTAGTCCCTGTTGGGGATACTGCAGTTTTGCGTTAAAATCGATTATTCTTGTATAGTTTCCAAAGTAGATTCCAAACGATTTAATTTTTCATATATGGGCGTAGCTTGAGGAGTTGGTTTTGTTCACCTTTTTCATCGTTTTGTGATAAGTTTGAACCCGAGTAAATAGCTGCTCACGTTTTGATTTAAGCTAAACATAATTTTGAGCATTCTGTCCTGTCTGTTCAGGAATTCTGCTAGGCTCCTCACTCGTTGTTCTGATTAAGTGAAATAAACAAAGTTAATACACAAATGAAATAATTAACAATCATTTAGATCTTCCTTCTTTAGATCTAGAAAGAATAAGGATAAAATTACCGGAAGGTTAGTGGTCCCACGCCTTATCTCTTTTAGGAAAAAGAGGATTAATTAAAACAATATTGATTTTATTCGTACAAATTTAATATTTTAATGGACTGATTTTTTTTATCCGGCCCGGAGGACCAATGTTACGGCATTGGCCATAACAAGTGACTTGAAGCTATATTTGCAGATAGTCTGAAACTACTGGATCTCTCATTCCGGTGATTGTCGATTATCTGTTTATAAATAGGGAAAATTGGAGGTTCAAGGTTTAAAACGTTGTTGTACTGCGATTATTATCAACTTTTCTAATAAATCTTGTACCGAAAAAGACATCTGTACAAAATTTTGAGCGTCAATAATTTTTAATTTACACATTTGTTTTATTTTTAGATTGTGCCTACAGCTTAGATACTTTGCACATATTAATTTGTAGTAGATAATCTCCTTTTTTGTAAATAAATTATTTATCTTGTAACAAAAAGATTACCGAATTGATGATGAATGCAAAAAATTAAGAGAACACTCTCACTAGTGGCTGGGTGAAACCTTTATATATTATATGCTTGCATTTATGTGTTTCTTCTTGTTCTTTTGCCAGTAATTTGAATTGAGAGAACAACGACATGCTAGTAAAATTAAGAAAAAAGAAAATATGATAGTATTGATAAAAATTTGAGTGAAATATTTGCAGAATTTTACGTTTTTTGCGTGATGAACAGCAACTGGTTGTTGTCCAGTAATATCTAAACTTCAAATTATTATTGTTTAGGAAAACTGAACAAAAAAATTATTTTAAAAGATGAAACCTTGTGTAAATGCAATTTACTATGCTGTGATTGCAAATTTTCGCTGTTTAAAAACAAATCCCATCTTTGTTGTTAGTAGGGGACCCTCTGTTTTTTCGTGTATTTTTTTTTAAGACGATCTTCCAATAAAGGGGTGTGGGAATGTTTGCACTGGTAGCACGTGATGCAGTAGCAATATGCTACAAAGTCTATTTATCGTTGGGGAGGCAGAGTCAACTTCATAAAGAGGGTGGTCGACCATACACGACCCCCGGGGCGACCCAATATCCGACAAGTCAGA